AAAACTTTTTCCCCTATTCCAAATTCAGTAATATTCTGAATCTTTCTATCATGAAGCTGTTTTTGCCTATTCTGCGCCTTTTGTACTTGATAAAGAGCAGCTTGGCAGATTACTGGCAGCATATCTACCAGCTCTCGAACTCTTTGAATTATAGTTTTCCCAACACTTTCATCTGATTGAATGGGCTGTCTTGTATCTCAACCGTAGGTTAGGTAGAATAGCATTATTCTTGTAGTAGAATCTTCGAAGTTCAATAGGCAAACAATATGGATGAGATAATTAAATTCCAATCTGCCACATTTTCCACGTTTTTGGCAATCGACTCATACAGAGTCCGGTTAAACTGTTCTACCAACCCATTTGTCTGGGGGTAGTATGGCATCGACAAGACATACTTAGTTTGGAACTTTTCCAGTAATTTCCGAACTAGCTTATTTCAGAAATGAGTTCTTTGATCTGACAGGATCAACTCGGGGCACCTGTGATGGCAAATTATTTCATTGTACAGGAAATCGCCACTTTCTAAGCATTTGCTGAACCAATGGCTTTAGCTTCCGGCTATTTAGTCATATAATTTGTTCTATACCAACCTGATAAAAAGGAGCCATGACTGGTATAGGGTATAAGGGTGTAGTCAGCCGGGGCTTACCTCGTCGTTGACATTAGTCACAGGACTTCACATACTTCCGTATTTGTTTATATAATTAAGGCCAGTAATAGAGTTGACTTATTTTCTCAAACATAGTTTCGATCCCTAAATAACCTCCTAGTGGGTGATTATGAATCAGATATAACACTAGTTCCACTTCTTGGGTTTGAATAACCCTCAATGGCTTATTTGAGTTTTTGCTGTTGTTTCGAAAAATAATCTCATCTTTCAAGAAGAACATCTGCCCATTATTTATAAGTCTTCTTTTTTCTTTCTTGGACAATCTCAGATCAATATATTGTTCTTGAAAAAAGCGCTTTAATTTATTAAATCTTTCTGGATCCATTTTAGTACTTCTTGTACTAGGACACCGACTACCTGGTCCAAATTTTTGCTTAACATCGGATTTATGCCATTAGGAAATTCCACACAGAGGATTCTTCCTATAGTTTGTTTGGTATTTTAACTTGTTCAGGTTCTTTAATATCTTCAATTTGCTTGAATACACTATGACACTATTTATCTAATAGTGCAGATGTATCTTTAATTATGCCATCCCTAACTCTTACAATTGATCGATTTTCCCTGATTTTCATTTGACCAATTCTTAGAGTCATTCATTATGCATCTTCTCAGAAGATTTTTGATAGCAGAGAAATGCCTTAGCATTCAGCTATAACCAAAAATCTAAACTTCAACTCTCATCATTTTTTTCCAATACACTTTTTTTTTTTTTTTTTTTTTTGCATTCTATTTTAATTTTCCAAACTTAGTTCCTATTGGACCCTTCCCAATTTAATACCCAATTGGCAACTGATCCTTTGTGGATCAAGTTTTCATTGATCTTTTCTCAAGTGAATAGGGCCTCAACTTGCCCTACCCTATCCTAACCAACCTTACTAATGTTAGGTCTGTGATTCAGAAAAAACTAAATAAAATTCGGATAGTGTTACTAAAGTACCTATTTTTTTTTTTTTTTTTTTTTCTTTTGGTCATATAATCCCGAGAACATGAATGTCTGGGAGGTCATATAACATTAAGATATTAAAAGAAAAAGGATATTGGTATTTTTATCTGTTTACTAATCCAACTCGATTTTCACAGATAAGATAAGAACACCATTATCATCTACAAGTCTTCAGTTACACCCAGGATCAATGCCGGTTTGTAAAGCTATTAACTGCCGGGCTTCACTTTGTCATACTTCATCTTGCATCCGGTTTTGCAGGATTAGTAATTTATTTGGATCGTTGGCAATTAAAGGATAGCCATAAAAATCTACCCAATATACGCCTCCCTTAAATTGAGCTCTCAGGCTGCTATATGGTCATTAAGGGTAGGATGGTCATAGAGGAAGAACTCATTTTCGAAGCGCTGGGTTTTCCCTGCAAAGACCAATTTTTAGCATCTTCTAGGAGTTAACTTAGTAAAAAGAAAGACAGGTATATATATAGGCATATCTATATTCATTATCTATTCATATTTTTCAATACCAATTCCTTCTGCGCTGATATCAATGGCTTGTGGCTTAAAGGTTTCTTCCTGGTCATCTTCTGGCCATTTGATAAATTCATCCATCATTGCATCCTCTTGTTTTACTTGGTCTGCAAGACTCTTATTAACCTTCCACTCTTTGGTCAAGGTTTCTTCCTCTAGAGTGGTTAGACTTGTCGATCCACTGTTTATTACAACTTCTATTTGGGACTCATCATCATCTGACGTTTCCCATTGTGAAGAAGAAGAATAATTACTATCAGATGATCTTTCATCACTCTCATACTTGGGGTCATTTTCTTTCTCTGAGGCTTCTATAACTTCTTCAGGTGTAAGGGGCCAAGGAACATTTTTTTTGGGCTTCCATTCCATCCAGGTTACATCAGAGAAGCTTTCTTCACCCTGGATGGCCCTTAAATCGTCTACTAAGTATACTTTGTCCTGGAAAGTGACATTTAGCTCCTTTTCCATTCTCATATTCTCACCACTGTTGGGCAATATCACTATAGCCTTTCCATAACAATCTACGGCCTGATTCTACTTCGAAATTATATAATAATTGTTCATACCCTTGTTCCTGCCGATTCATGTCCACTACTTCACTCTCATCCACCTCCCACGTATTCCATTGTTCCTCTATACAATCAGTCCTTTCATAATCTATCTCTTCTACCTCAGATTTGTAATCCCCTTCATCCTCATAGTCCTCTTCATAATCTTCATTTTCTGAGTACTATTCATCTTCACTATCTTCTATATATATAACATCAACTTTAAAAACCTCCCTAGCTTCTTCTGGCCGGTTTCTTTCTCATTATTATTTATTTTGAGAAGACAGGATAGTGCATCTACATTAGAGTGCACCCAACCACTCCTATATACGATTTTAAAAATGTAAGATTGGAGCCAGAAGATCCACCTTGCTCTTCTTCCTTTCAATTTCGATGTCTCCAACTATTTAAGAGTGGTATAGTCCGTGATCACTACAAAAGGCTTAATGCCTAAATAATAGTGGAAATACTCAATTCCCCAAATTACCACCAGGCACTCCAACTTAGTAGTAGAGTAGTTTTTTTCTGCACGACTTAAACTTCGGCTAGCATATGCAATTACGTGCTCTCTATTTTTTTTATCTTTTTGAGACAACACGGCCTCGAGATCTATCCCTGAAGCATCCGTGTATAAGTAGAATGTCTTCTCAAAATTTGGGTACTGTAAAATTGGGGCAGTAGTCAAATGGCACTTTAATGTTTTAAATGCCTTATGTTGAGGCTCGCCCCAATCATATGGCACGTCTTTCCGAAGTAGGTGATGCAAGAGTTAAGCAAGAGAGGCAAAACCCTTAATAAACTGCCTATAGTAGGATGATAGACCCAAAAATCCTCTCAATTGGCGCAGAGTCTTCGGTGCCGGGTATTCTCAGACTTTGATGACCTTTTTATTATCTGGCCTAATTCCATTTCTAGTAATTTCATGGCCTAGAAACTTTAACGACTTTCTAAGAAAGTAACATTTGTCACTATTTAATTTTAACCGTGCCTTCTGAAGCTTGATAAAGACTCTTTCCAAATGTTCTATGTGTTTCCAGAAAGTTCTAGAGTAGACAGTAATGTCATCTAGGTAGACGGTAACAAATTGCCCAATATACTCCTTTAGCATATGGTTTATCAGCCACTGAAACATAGCCGGGGGTGTTACAGAGACCAAAAGGCATAACATTAAACTCATACACCCCAAACTTGGTGACAAAGGCCATCTTTTCCCTGTCTTGTTCGGCTACGAAGACTTGCCAGTACCCACTGGCCAAGTCTAA